AGATCTGAAACCTAAAAACCTCTGCAACAACAACAATGGCTTCCACAGCTCCTCCGATCCTCCCAATCACCAATTCCCAAACCGTCCCATCCGCCGCACCTTCCTCCGTCGAATCTCAAGCACCGATCGCAACTCCTGCGTTTCGCCTTTTCATCAATCAGATCTCCGAAACCGTCAAAAACGGTCTCTCTCAACGTCGTCCTTGGGCTGAGCTCGCGGATCGATCTGCATTATCCAAACCTGAATCGATCTCCGACGCAGCCGTACGGATCCGTAAGAATTACTCGTATTTCAAGGTCAATTACCTCACCGTAGCGACTGCGATCGTCGGATTCTCGCTCGTGACTCATCCTTTCTCTCTCGTTTTCCTCCTCTGTTTGCTCGCGTCTTGGCTTTTCCTCTACCTGTTTCGTCCTTCGGATCAGCCGATTGTTGTCTTTGGTCGTACGTTCTCAGATCGTGAGACGCTTGGGTGCTTGATTTTGTTCAGTATCTTTGTGATTTTTCTCACTGATGTTGGATCTGTTCTTGTTTCGGCTTTGATGGTTGGTGTTGCGTTGATCTGTGCTCATGGTGCGTTTAGGGCTCCGGAAGATCTATTCCTTGATGAGCAAGAGCCTGCAGCTACCGGATTCCTCTCTTTCCTCGGCGGCGCAGCCTCATCCGCCGCGCCTGCCGTCGTTGCAGCTCGCGGGTAAATGCTTTCCTCGTAATCGGAGTCTGATCTACCAGTGATCTGTTTTTTTTTTTGCTTTTGATAAATCTTTCAATATGATTCGTTTGTTCAATCGATACTTAGGGGGTTTTCTTTAATCTGGAAACAAATAAACGTCAAAATTTGTGGATCTTTGAGACCTAATTTTTGTTTTTGTTTATGTTCTGGTATAGCTATAGATGAAATATATATATCTCTGAATGATTTTGATTTGAAGAAGACCACTTCTTGTTGCTCTTGTGTTGGATCTGTTTCATGAATTTTCAAAATCAAGATTCAATTCTTGTTCAGATTTTTGTGTTGGATCTGTTTCAATTTCATGATCAAAATCAAGATTCAACCAATAGAGTTGAAATTGGAGTATTATGTATGCAAGAAGATCGATCCAAATTTTACGGTTTTTAAACGCCTCATTATTATGAATTTTAAGCTGTTTAGTTGACTGATTGGTACAAGAAGAAGCTTAAGATAGTGTAAGATGTGATCAAACCATATGACTAAAAGAAAGAAATCTTAAGATTCACTTCTTGCAAAATAAAAAATTCTGGATGAGAATAGTTGAGAACAATGTCTACATTGTCGACTACAACCCAAGAACATGACTGACACTGTCATATCGGAAGCTTTTATCGTTTAGATTGACCCGCATTTGATAGATATTGCCGAAATTGCGGGTTGCGTCAATGTCGAAAGAGAATTAGACTAACGATGTTTCTCGCACAAGCATTTTCCGTGTTCGGAAACGAGCTTCTAACTTAGTTGTGTAACTTGTGTTAATAGCATATAAATGTTTTCAAGCGAATGAATCTTTGGTTAATGTTGGAGTTATCTTCACTCCGTTTTACCCCGTCTTGGCTTTTTCAATTTTCTTCAAGATTGATTATCTTAACCATACTCTCCCGTAAGTACTCATTCACATATAAATGACTTTTTGGCAGATCTTTTATATATTAATTGGAGAGCAATTTCTTGAAAAGAGATTATGTGTCCTCACCAAATTCATTCTCACAATTTTAATGTGATATGGCGTTGTCAAAAATATGACAGGGCATTCACACCAAACTCTTCAAAAAATCTCTTAAAAAAATCGTGAAG